GAACGAAAACAAGATCAACTCTCTAGTTGATAAAAGCTGTGTCCCAAGGAGGGACAGGTAACAGTTTGGACACTACTACACATGCACACTGGGCTGAATAATTCAGTAGATAGATGGTGCGTGGTGGGTGGTGGTAGCCAGTGGGAATTTACAGACAAGGGAAGGAGGCTAAAATGATCCATTTCCTATGGATTAGAGCTGGAGACACCAGTAAGAACTCATATGTAGCTTAATATACTTACAGACGATTGCACATAGAAATGTTCATATATGTGCATATATACACGGGTCAGTACACACACATGTATTTCTTTGCTCTGCCAGATGAGAGGGCCTAAAAGAAAAACCACTGTGCAAACCTACCATCCAGATCTTGGTTTCTAATCCCATTCCCTAATAAAAGGAGCTGGTGGTCCTTTGAGAAATGGCTGATTCTAGACGGGGCACTGCAAGATTAACCTGGAGCATCCCCTCATGCCCAAAGTAAGGAAGCGTTTAAAACACGCCCCTGTGGATAGGGATACGTCAAAGAAACCAACTGAAAAAGCTCCCAGTGGCCCCAAAGCTGGGACAATTTGAACAACAAAATAAGTGAAGTAGAAGTGAATTATGTCCCGAAGTGTCAATAAACATCCAAGAGTCCACACGGATATGAAAAAGGATTGAATAAATTAACGGGAGAGAAGAGAGAAAGTATTCCAAATAAGTTACAGGGATCCGTCACCCTGAAGGAGAGCAGGACACACCCCCTTCGAATGTGAGAGGCACGCAGACGTCCTTCCCCAGAGCACAGCGGGACAGGGTGGGCAGACAGAGTCACTGTCCAGTGGGGAGGTGGGGCGAACATCACATCAGCCACTTAATCAGCATCAACAGTCATAAACCAAGTGGACAGCACGTCCCCTTAACATACAATATGACGACAGGGGCACTTTACATCAGACAAATTCCAACAGAGGGAATTCCACTACATATCTGACCAGTACTACTCTCGGAAACGGTCAAGGTCGTCAAACACAAGGAAAGTCTAAGGAAACTGCACAGCCAAGAGGAGCCTAATGAGACGAGGTCAACTAAATACAATGTGAGACCCTGGACCCAAAAAAGGATATTAACAGAAACTAAGAAAATCTGAATATAGATTTTAGCTAATAATAATGTATCAGTGTTGATTTTCTAATTGAAATGAATGTACCAAACTAAGGTAAGATGTTAATAATCAGGGCAACAAGTATAAAGGATACTGGAACTCTCCGTCTTATCTTCATAATCGTTCTCTAAATCTAAAATTACTCTAAAAATAAAATTTAAAAACAAATTTTTTTAAATAAGATCACCAGATCATAATAGCTAAGAACGAAAACCCAGAACATATGTATACACGAGAGGGGCTAATACACATTTATGTAAAAAGGCTGGGCTACTGAGTGAGCGATTTGGGGACTACTGGCTCTTCACGTGGGAAATACGTTAAGATTTGATTACTGTCTCATTCCACATGCAAACTAGTTGGACTGAAATTCCAAATGTGTAAAATCAAATTTTTAAAATCATTATTATTTTTAGGCCAGGCCATGCGGCATGCGGGATCTTAGTTCCCCGACCAGGGATTGAACTTGCGCCCTCTACATTGGGAGCACGGAGTCTCAACCACTGGACCGCCAGGGAAGTCCCAAAATTTTTTTAATTATTGAAAGAAGATCTTAGAGACTATCTTCTCAATCCTGCCTTAGGTTGGAAAGACCTTCTTAAGCACAAGGAAAAAAGCATTCACCACACAGAAAATACTGATTTGTCCATATAAAAGTTTTCAACTTCTATTTTAAAAATGATACTATTTAAGGAAGAAAAAAAGGACAAATGACCAGAAGAAATGGTGTTCCACCTAAAATGACCCAACGGGTTAATACACAAAATACAAATAAATAGGGCTTCCCTGGTGGCGCAGTGGTTGAGAGTCCGCCTGCCGATGCAGGGGACACGGGTTCGTGCCCCGGTCCGGGAAGATCCCACATGCCGCGGAGCGGCTGGGCCCGTGAGCCATGGCCACTGAGCCTGTGCGGCTGGAGCCTGTGCTCCGCAATGGGAGAGGCCACAACAGTGAGAGGTCCTTGTACCGCAAAAAAAAAAAAAACCGACAACAAAAAATACAAATAAATACTGCAAATAAATAAGAAAATGATAAACCAATAGAATGGGAAAAGGATAAGAACAAATCACAGAGGAATAATGGCCATTAAACAAAGGGAAATGTGCTCAATGTTGGTAGTAATGCACATTTCACACCTAAGATACCGTATTTTCCCCATCAGATTGGTAAAAATTATAAGGACATAATATTGAATATTGCCAAGAACATGGGGGAAACGATTCTTATGGTACTGTCCGTGGATTGTTAAGTGGTTTAACACCTCTGGAGGCCAATGTGACAACATCCATTAAATGTGTACATCTTTTCTCCTAAAATATTACAAAAGAAACAAAACCAGGGCTTTCATTAAGGGTAGTCTGGTTCACTACACAATGTAATGTGACACAATGGAAAGCTATGCATTAGTTGAAGAGAATCTGGAGTATCTATGTTTATATACACAGATGTATGCACACACACATATCATAGAAACACCTCTTCGAGACATTACTTCCTGTAGAAAGAAAGTCACAGAACAATCCATAGAGTGTGACAGAATCTGTGATTAAAAAATAAGAAAAAAGACAAAACAATATACTTATGTACACACACATTTACTTACAAAGGCACATAAGTGTTTAATGTACAGAAAATTCTTGCAGGATACTCATCAACCTGAGAAAGAAAAGGAGACTGGGGGAAGGGGAAGAGCGGGTAGGAAGGGTTTCTTTCCTTTTTTTATCTGTGTAGTTTTATGTATTACTTATGTAACTAACTGCTCTCAAAGGAAGAGGAAGTGGTGGAAGTTTACACAGCAAGCACTTCCCCACGTGAGCACCACGCGTGCACTGGGGCCGCTGTGAGTTGCACCCGCTCCCACTGCGTGAGAACCGCCCTTCAGTTATGCTGACGCTGTTCCCCTGGAGACCATCGCTAAGCAACGCTGCTGACAGTAACAATGACCCTTGACTGATCAATGGCATCTGGTCTACAAGGACGGACAAGGGAACGTGGCATCTGATGGGTGCCCACACCCTGGGGTCCTCCTGAATGCTGTGACTCTTAAAACAATCTCCTCTGCCCAACTCAAACCTTATTGGGACACACTGGTCAAAAACTATCGCAAAGCCGGGACTGAGTCGCACCAGCATTTTAGATTTGCACCGAGCGGGCCAGCTAGGCGTGCTAGAGTCCTTTTTTTTTTTTTTTCTTTTTTTTTTCTTTTTCCGGTACGCGAGCCTCTCACTGCTGTGGCCTCTCCCGTTGCGGAGCACAGGCTCCGGACGCGCAGGCTCAGCGGCCATGGCTCACGGGCCCAGCCGCTCCGCGGCATGTGGGATCTTCCCGGACCGGGGCACGAACCCGTGTCCCCTGCATCGGCAGGCGGACTCTCAACCACTGCGCCACCAGGGGAGCCCTAGAGTCCTTTTTCCATTCTAAATAGCCTATGGTATTTTTCACGACCGACGCCTGAACTGCCACTTTAATCATTCCCCATGTTAGGTGTAATCAACAATATTTTGCATTAAACTAAGGCATTTTTTGGTGAACGAACGGCAAGGCAGAAAACTTATTTACTACATAAACTGTGGTAAATTTATGGTTCAAATAAATTTTACCTATAATTTCCCAAACCACGACGGAAACTTAAATCATTCATTTTATATAGTGGAACACAATGTGGGCCTATATAAAAACTGAAAAGAAAAAAAAAATTTGTCCAAAGGAGCTGCTTCCAAGTTCATGTCTTGAGAAAAGAAGATTTTTATGTAATTTAAAAATCAAAATCACTTCCTAAGAAAAACTAATCTTCAGTGTAAATCACAGTAGAAAAACATCATTCTTGATGGATAAAGACAGGAAAAAACTTGCCAAAGTGTAAGTATGGCTCTGCTTGAAACAGCAAAGAACGGTACGGGCAAATCGTGCACGTGACAAGGCCAGGGTCACCTAACACAACACAAAATCACATTTGTGATTCAGCTCTTTAAAAACTAGGGTGCCAGTGGCTGTCCAGGACAAGACATATCTCAGCTGGTTACAGAAGGGTGTTAATGTGACCAACTCAGTATGGTCAGTGCAACAAAGCCCATCCCTTTAGCCACACTCTGTGCCACCCCCTCTTCCGAGTGGTCTTAAAAATGCAAGCTACAGCTCCCCAACCCCACTCGCATTGTTTTAATATTTCTGAGGAGGGTCCAAGAATCTACATTTTTCTAAAGTGCTGATTCCGGGGAACCCCAGGAAAGGGCTTCAAAGGGGCACTGACCACCCCCATCCCACCTTCTAAATCAGGTCAGAAAGAGGGGATTTCACACATACATACATGCATGAGTTTTTTTCCCTTTCTTGTAAAGCTTTAAGTATCACTAAGTCTTACAACTGATAACAATGTGCTTGTTTTAATTGAGTTCTTTAATGACATATATCAACTTCAGAACAGTTTTCGCCTCCGGACAGAAAGAAAGAAAATAGAAAAATGGGGGGAAAAAATGAGAGGTCTGAGCAACTACAGCCAAAAAAATTCATCGCTATGACTAAAGTAGAGTGACAGGTAATATGAGTACCATGATACTTTCCACACTTTTCTGTATCTTTAAAATACTTAATTTTTAAAAAAAGAAATGTAAATGTACGGCATTATTCCAAAATGCAAAACAGCACAAGAGCATTAGCAGGAGCCCTCAGTACCCGAGAAAGCGGTCCCGCCCTCGCCCTCCAGTAACGTTTATCCTGAGGCCATGATGGCCCTCACTCTGGTTTCAGAAAGACAAGCCTGTCTGCAGTCGCTTAAAGCAATGCTGGTCTTCACTGTGAACTGGATGATTTGTAAGGATGGGAGGAAAAGTGCCCCTCACGGGCTCCATACCTGTGTCGCTCCCCGAGCCTGCGGACAGCGCGGGCATGATGCAGGATGCGGGATGCAGGATGTGGGATGCGGGATGCAGGATGCAGGCTGAGCCGGGCCCTGAACTGCCAACACGCTCCGTTCAAAGGCGGCAGGGATGCCAACCCTGAGGCCTGCAGCCACGCTGTCTACCCAGATCTATGTCTCCTGCAGTCCGTTTCTACAAAGAAAAGGAACACATTAAAAATAGAAGAGGCAAGATTACTAATAGCAACTTTCTGTAACTAATTCAAAACGCTGATTCCAACACATTATTTAGGGAGATCACAATCTTCACAATTTCTTCTACAGACCACAGACAAATATGAAATGGGAGAGTTTTTTATTTCGACGTGGGATTTCTAATTAAAAACATGAAAGTTCTCCGTGAATGTGTCAAGGTTTCCTTAAAGATTTTTACAGTTGGTTTGAGAACCACTGACTGCATAGATGGAGAACTTAAGGAAGCTTTTGTAAGCCAATGTCATTCTAAAATTCCTCCCTTCTGTTAGAATTCAAAACTGTATTCCTAAAGGTAGAGCAGAGATTCTCTAAATTGTCAACAACTTATAACTAATTGTGATTTTTTAAAGTAACTCATCCTAATACGACAACTGCAAAGTTCTCTAACGAGATTACAAACAACCTTGAAAGAATACTAGAATTGAAGCAAGATATTATTATAGATTTACAGGACTGCTGGTAATCTACACTAAACCTAACAATCCAAGCTAATATATGAAAATAAATTGTTTTAGTAAGAACTCAGCTTTGATGTATCTTGGAAAATATCAATTTTTTAAATAACTATTTTAAGTAACATTTATCCTAAAATAAGCAGTAAAGGCACTATTGTATAGTAACTAAAAGCAAGGGCTCTAGTGTTTGCTTACTCTCTAATCCTGCTAGCTCTGTGATCTTGGAAAAGTTATTTAATCTCATTAAGCCTTAACTTCCTTATATGCAAATGAAGAGAACAACAATTTAGAACTGTTGGATAATCCAATGAACACCCTTCAAACAATGAATACTAACTATTATGACTGGTTTTTTTTTTAATTCAGGTAATGAGATTATAAAATGAAAACATAAAAGTAGCAAGATTAAAATTTACATTGGCCTACACCTAGGAGGACGCCATGTGGTTTAAATTTGGACCACGGCTGCCTAATAACGGAAAATACACCGCATTTACATTTTTCAGAAATCAGAAGAACCACACGTGTTTAAATTCACTTTTTAATGCATTTTCCCCAGTTCTCTATAAAGCAAGTTCGGTGATTTAAAAGCATATTTTAACATATATTAACAAGAAAAACAGATACTGTAAACATTTGAAAAACTGGCTCACTTCAATCCCTAAAGCCTTTAAATTGCTGCTTCATATTACAGAATAAAGACAATGAGCTTGCCAAATTCCTCATGAAAAAATTCAAACTATAAGATTCTATTAAAGCCTTCTAAGTTAGCTTTTTAATTATCAAAGTAAACGTTAGCATAAAAATATTCACCATCAAATAGACTATCTTGGACCAGGCAACCCGGTGCAATGTCTTGAGTTTTGTTTTACATTACAAAGGTTGACGTAGTTAAAATACACATACAAATTCATACAGAGATCCTCTGTGTTAATTAAAAATATGAAGGCAGTTATTTTAAATACCAAGTGAAAATATAAATCACTAAGCTAAAAATAAGACAGAAAAAGGTAAAGCAAGGCTTCATTAGTGCCCGTCTCTGACGCTGTTTTCCCTAATAATTCTAAAAGGCAACTCTGCTTTGCTTTCATAAGTTATCCTAACAATCAGGATTAAGATTCAACTACATAAAGTGCTCCTCGACTCAAACGCAAAGAAAATACAAAACAGACCATACATAATTTAAAAAACGCATTCAATTAGTAAACTTTTGTTCTGCTGCTGAGAAAAAAGGGAAAAACGGTTATAACTTGTAAAGTATATGCACACGTATTTCTACCATTAGGGCATAAGGCATATACGTAGGTATGTAGATAGGTATTTATTATAGTGTGTATGTATGTAATTTAAGCTCTTTATGCCATAAATCCTAATTTGTACGGTACAGACTACCTAACTACAGAAATACACATACTATATAATCTATACCATGCAAACTACGACTTTCTTCAAGCCTTAACGAACTTACAATTTCATAAACCACATACAACATATAAGCCAATTTATGCTTAAAACAAACATCCTATTAATACTAAAACCACCTTACATTTCACATCAAAATATCCTCCCGAGTTGATACTGCAGCTTTCCACGTATGCCGTATACAAAAGATTTTCACAGTGTTTCTCATCTTTTATTTCACAATAAACACTCAAGGTTAAGTTTTTTCCAAAGTTGTATTATTTAAGAAATATATGCTACAAGATAATTATCTTCTCAGAACATACAAGTATATTAATTTACAAAAATGGTTTGATAAAATCCCAACCAGGAAAATGGTTAATATTCTGTGGAACGAAGCAGAGTTGCTGGGTTTAACTTTCAAACTGAGCTAAATTTCTGTAGTAATCATGTTATTTTCTTTGGCTAAACTTATTTAAAATGCTTTGGAATTTGTCAGAATCCAGCCATGATTATTACTGACTGTTGTATGGAATCGATTTACTGCAACACAAAAATACCAGCTGTTACAGTACGTCCTGAGAGGGATTACCGAATATTCTTAAATTGAAGTTCAATCCATCTTTCCATAAAAAAGAGAGCGACCCAAACGCCAGGAACGAAAGTGCAGTGTCAAGTGCACCTGAAGCATTTACAATCCCCAACAGAACCATTACAACCCTACTTTAAAAGGGCTTATTTTTGAAATTTCATTATTCCAGTCATACCGTGCTTCTATATATCACACTGTATCAGGTTCTTCTGGCATCCGTCATATGGAAACAGTGAACTATGTGAAGGTCTAGAACCTACAATGTTCAGTTTCTACCCGCCCTGGGCAACCCTTAGGGCTCCCGGGGCACTCATGACATCTAGTGGTCAACCACAGAAGTGCAAGTGTCTGTAGCAGAAAGTTTTTTGAGTTTTCCCTAAAAAAAAGTCTTAATTGCACCCAGTGAAACAACCATCTGCAAAAACTTTTATTAATGTGTGCGCACTCACACACACACACACACACACACACACTCACACACACACACACACACACACTCCTCCTGTGTATCTCCTCTATCAATACTTCACTTCTGACAGCAGATGTGGTTTTCCACACCCCAGGCAGATCTGTGACACCAGCTGGGTGACCTACAATTAAACTCAGTTCTGACACTGTCTACCTGGAGATAGGGCCAGATACCACAAGGTAAGGGCTCAGCCCCACAAGACTGGCCCCCTTCTGATGTCACCTGCAAACCCAGGTTGTCACCTGTGCTTCTCATCGACTGACTACAATCAGGACTTCCCCCAGCTCCCTCAGGTTCACTGAATTTGCCCGAGGGGCTCACAGAACTCAGGAAAACGTTTACTTTTTAGGTTACTGGTTAACTGTAAAAGGAAATGATGAGGGACAGCCAGACAGAAGGGTTGCACAGGGCGAGGTGGAGCTCCCACCCCTTCCCTGGGAGCCGCCCTCCCCCAAATCTCCACGTGTCTGCAGCCTGGAAGCTCTCCAGGCCGGAGGCTTCGTCACACAGGCATGGTTGATTAAATCACTGGCCCACTGGTGCCTGAACTCAACCTCCAGACCCTCTCCCCTCCCTGGAGGTTGCAGGGTGGGACTGAAAGCTCCAACCCTCCAATCAAGGTTGGTTGTCCTCGCCACCAGCCCCGTCCATAAGGGCTTCCCAAAAGTCGCCTCGTTAACATAAAGGTATGGCTGAAAGTAGTTAGGAAAAACGGAAGACATCTTATCGCTTAGGAAATTCCAAGGGTTTTAGAAGCAGGAAGGGTTACACAGAACACCAACTATATATTTATTATATAAATCACAATATTTCACACACACGCACGAGGTTAACACAGATGAATGAGAAATCAGGTACTGGACCTAATTTTCCAAACTCACGCCCTCTCTATTTGGAAGAGCATTCAAGAATATGAAAACTTTTAATTAACTGTCATCATAAATAAACTAATAATCATAGTAAGATCCCATCATTTCAAGAGACAGTAACTGTGCCCCGTAATCCAACTGTAGATTACTTCATGAGTTACAAATACTCTCAACTTACACTTTCAAAACCTAATAGAGCAGTAACACACACAAAAAGGGTAAACCCTTTTTTAACAAATCTGACATTAAAAAAAAAAAAAACTCTACCTGAAAGATGCATGAGTTGTATTAGCCAATGGAAGCAGCAAATCTTCATAAATTATAATTGTTAGAAAATACAGGAAGCAATGCAGGTAGGTGGCATCAATCTGCTTACAGAAAATGGTATTTAAACCTTTTATACCATCAGTTCTCAAAGTCTGGTCTGCAGACACCAGTGGTCTCTGAGATCCTTTCAGACGCGCCACTGAAGTCAAACTATTTTCATAAAACCATCAAGATGGTATCTGCCTTTTGCAACGTGTGGACATGTGCACCAATGATGAAAAGTACTGGTGGACAAAACCATGGGTACCTTAGCACAAATCAAGATAACAGTACCAAATGGAAACTATTCGTCCTAGTTAATTCTTCACTACCAAGCAGTCTCATAAAAAAAAAAAAAAAGACGGAAGGGCATTGACTTTAGAATGTCCTTAATGAAGTAGTAAAATTAATAATAACTGACTCTTGAGGCATTGCTAATGATAAAGCATAAACACTCAAGCAAAAAAATAGAATTTTATAAAACCTGTGTCCACTAGAGGTGGCCCTCGCTTTGCAACGCACCGTGTTAACCGAAATGCAAGCATCCTGAAACCAGTTCCCGCTCTGCACAGGTCCACCAGCTTCCCAAAACCCACAGGCTCTTCCAGGATCAGTGGTGATATGAGCAAATGTGATTTTTTTAATATTGTGTCAACCTGTGGATAGTGAACCAATATTTTTGAAATTATCAGTGCATAATATTTTAAAAAATAACGTGTGAATAAAAGATCCAGTCAAAACGCAGGACAGACCAACAGATTTGAAAGTTCCAATATGATACGCCTGTTGATGTATTTTCAGATTCCACACTGCAACACTGAAACTACCACATGTCGAGTTTTGAGG